TGGCATTATCCTATTCAGCTCTAATAACATTTAACACAAGGAAAGCCAACGTTCTATGACTTTGAGTGATTAAAACTTCTTTCTTAGGGACTAAATATTTTAATTAAAAAATGGACATGTTGACCTTTATTTCTGGGTACAGAAATATTACGGTATTTAATTTAGAAAAATTGTTTCCGCAATAAACTTCCCAGACGCTCAGTGGAGACGATATGGTTCGCCAAAAAAAAAAAAGTCTGCCTAGTAAGGCCAGTATAGCTTCCTCGCGGTTTTCATTGGCTAAAATATATCTATCTATATTACAAGTTATACAATAAAATATCAGGAAGAAGCCGATTCGGAAATATTACAGTTACCCTTCAACATTCTTGGGTTTGATACTCACGAATTTCGTTTATCAGCTAATATTCAAATGCGAAAGAGTGCTGTATTTGAAGATTCCATATTGATTATTTTTAATTTAAAAAAAATATCAATGCATAATGAACAAGCATTTCAATACTTTATTAGTATAATTTCATATTTTATTGCTCTCTGTTATTTTCCATCGTAGCAGACTACTTATATCAGTTGCAGGCTACAAAATATCACCTTTATTACAAATGGAATAAAAGTTGAAAATTTTACGAAAATAGGTAAGTTTTCAGTTCGTAAAATGGATGGAACTTTAGAACATCCATAGGAAAAATTCAACTTGTTATTTGCTCGGAGTTAACGAGACCAATACTTTTCTTCAGTCTGAAGAAAACTAATCAAGCCGGAATATACAAATATGAGTGAAGTTGACACAATTTTGGAATTTAAGGAGAAAATCGAGAACACGACGAGCTGGTTGAACTTCAATGGAAATAAACACGATCACAAATAAGACTTTTTTTTTTTACAGATTCAGGATAAAAACTACTTTAAATTTATTGAAAATTACACGAAATCTAAGTAACAGCAGTAAGTGTCATGCCAGTAACGTTCGGAATCGGCCAAACAATACAGTATCAATTAATTTTTCGAATAAACCCTAAAATTATATAACCACATAACAATATGATAATAACCTAACTCCCACTCCATATGATCAGTGCCTACCACATTTCACTGCCATTATATAGTTAACAATTATTTATTTTTATTTTAATTATTAAATGCAATTCAATGAAATTGATACTAAGTAATTTCTATACTGTTCTCTAAATTTCCTCCAAGTTTGGACCAAACCTAATGCGCCGTTTTCAAAGAATAGTCATATCAAATAACACATTTCTGGATCTGAAAGTGGAAGTTTTTTCTTTTTTTTTTTGGAGTATTAGATAAATTTGATGCCTATTTCATTTTACGTTTACCAGTCCCTATATTCCCTCCAAATTAGACCCAAATCAAATTTGCGGTTTTAGAGATAGTTTGCGGAATACATAAGAGAAAGCAGAGACATAATTCAATGAAATTTACTCTACATTATTATTTTCTTAAATCTCTACTTTTTATCCAACTTTGAGCCAAATCGAACGAGCCGTTTCTGAAATATTTGTATATCTACAAAAATGCGTTTGCGCTTGCGTAAGCGGAAATGCTGGTTAGGATTTAATAATTTTTTTTTGTCAGTTTATTATGTTATAATGATAAACTATATGTTTATGGTTGTAGTAACGTTACACATGACTTACTAGTGGTATGAATGCTATTTAGAAAGTTGAAATCCATTTTTTACAGTAGGAAAAACCTACATAAGATATTTAATAAAATTGATATGGGACCATCTAGACACCAAACCGCAGAATTTCTGAAAATTTCATGAAGATCGGTTAACGGTAGTTTGCGATATGCCCGTCACATCGATTTGACTACAGACAGACACCGAACCAAATTTGAACCTTGATGTCTGAAACGTAAAACGCGAGTGAAAATTTTCGATTCTCAGCATAATACTTTTAACCTCTCGCACGAATACAATGCTTCCATACCTTCGGTAGTAAGGATATATATTTAATACATATTAAAGATACATATTTGACAAAAAAAAAAGATTTAGACACGGAGCGAGGAAACGAAAAGTGACGGAAAAATTATAAATAATAATCTCTTAAAACTAACATAATTTAAAGTAAATCACATGTTTTCAAGGAAATTAAAATAAATTTACTGACAAAATGTAAACTTTCAAAATATTTTTAAGTTTGAAAAAATATTTCAAATCGACCTTATCAAGGCAATGACATCGTTTCAAAAACTATTTCATTGTACTTGTATGAAAGAAGAAGTAAAATATAAAATCATGGATTTATAAACCATATGTTTATAACCTTAAATACATTCATTATATTTAAATTACATTACAGTAAGTTTAAATTACATAATTATATTTAAATAATGAGATATCAACGTCCGTTTACTCCGAAAAGTAGTTATGTGACATTTTAGAAAATTAAATTAGTGTAAAATTTGATTAATTTCCCCTTTGTGAAATCCCAACATTATCATGTCTTTATCTAAAGTATCTTTAATTTGGTTTATTGTAAATAATAACTATTTATCATTGTTAGAATATATGGAAAAATGCTAAATATAACTTTTGAAATAATAATCGGAAGTTATATGTATAATATATCTGATCTAATCGGAAAATAAACAATATATAGCGTAAGATTTTGTTATTGGTGCCTCGAGGTACTCCCATGTCTCTCACCACTACAGTTAAGGTGGCTCTTCCCCTCCTTTCGAAGACAATATTTTTTTTTTTTTATTTATTTTAAATGATATTTACAACTGTATACAAAAAAATACATCTAGTAAATTTGCACATTGGTATAAAGACATGGAATACATGTTGAGAAACTACCCATTGGTAGCACTCTAATAATATGTCTATATTAGAAGATCACGTGGCCATCTTCTTTTCAGACGCCTCGGAGGGTTATCAGGAATCGAATAGGAAGCAAGGTTAGAGGCAAGAGGGTTGGGATGCTTATGAAGTTTATGGAAGGACAGATATCTGGATTGGGCCAAATCTGATACATAAGGAACATTAAGGTCATTATGGATAATTTTATTTGTAACAAAGTAAGGAGCATTGAGGATTTTACGAAGGATTTTGGATTGCAAGGACTGTATGCGAGAGGAATTTGAAGGTTTGGTGGAGCCCCATAGCTCAACTCCGATAGTCCAAATAGGCCTTATTATAGTCATGTAAATGAGCCTTTTATAATTGATTGGAAGGTTAGAGCGTTTGTCTAGTAAGTGTTGAAGTAGTCGGAAACGTCGAGCGGTTTCTTGTCGTTTCAGTCTGGTATGAGGATTCCAAGTTAGACGTTTGTCCAGGTGGAGTCCTAGGTAACGGATTTGTTCAACAGGAATAAGTGAGGTGTTGTTAAAGGATACTGAAGGACAGGAAGTCATTGGTTTACGACGAAAGGTGAAGGTAATTTGATGGGATTTATTGGAATTTATTTTAATTCTCCAGTTCTGACACCATTCTTCAAGGTTTGTGATGTGGGATTGAAGGGTTTGGGATGCAATAGATGGGTCGTGAAGACAATATTAACTAGGTATGTTCCTTTATCAAATCATCAACAATCATCGTCTTTCTTACACCTACAACCTTCTCCAATTCAAGCCCTCAGTCCATTCCCTTTCAACAAGATCTTGACCATCTGACCTCTACATCCCTTCTCACAGATCTACCTCATTTCAAAACTCCTTTATTGCCAATTTTTTGAATTCCCTACCTATCAAAATTCGGGATTCCCCCTCCATATCTACATTCAAAACCCTCCTATTCCAATTCCTATCCCAAAAACAGTCAGATGTTTGCTAAACTTTTGATATTATACATTTTTCATCAAATGATAGTTTTATTCCGTACTGTACACTTCACTAGGGATTTTAGAATATCTTCCGACTCTCAATGCCACTGAATGCAAGTATTGTTTGTTTTTTTATTATTTTTATTCTTATACAAATAAATTTGTATCTATAGTTACAATAAGATAATGATGTGTTTAGATATTATTCATTATTCAAATACTCTAACGTTTTATATTGTCAGATTTGTATTTCCTTTGTTAGCAGAAACACACCTTATTTTAAAGTTGAACTCAATGTATTTTTTATTATTTTATTTTTCCAAAGTTTATGATAATAAATTTTCTTAATGTACATAGTTTTAAGTTTTTTTTATATATAGATTTTTTTTTGTATGAAGCTTCTTTAACTAATATTTTCTTTACTTTCTCTTTTTTTATTATTTTACTTTGGCCAGATGTAGTCTTTTAATCAGGTACTATTTTGTTATTCTAAAGACTTGTTCCCAGAATAAAGTTATTTTATATTTCTATATAATGTAGAAAGTGAAGAAAAAAAAAATAATATTTTCCAAAAACTAACATTATTTAACGTAAATCACGTGTTTTCAAGAAAATTAAATGAAATTTTCTTACTAAATGTAAAATTTTCAGAAAATTAAATTAGTGAATAATTTGATGAATTTTCCCATTGAGATATCCAAACAGTATCCACTTTTGACCTGTCTATGATAGACAATGCAAATCTCTTAATTCCGTTTTAGTGAATTTTGCAATGTAAAATGACAGTTTAACAACTAATATAAGTACAACCCATAATCAACCGGTGATATAATAAGTAAGACTTTTGTTATTTTAATGGTATTTATGACTTGTTATCTGTAAGCTTTTAGCTTTAGCTTCGTTAAAAATTCAATTACAAAATTAATAATAGCCCAACATGGCCAGAAAATAATTTATATTCAAAGTTGAGCAGTAAGTGAAAGTTGTGTGTTGCGCGCACCAGCTTTTTTATTTACGTGGCTCAATTTTGTAACGAGATTGATTAAATTATTTTAAAATAAATTAATTCGATTCCATCACAGTCGATTTTTATTTCCAGGCTTGTCTGTTGGCATTTCTTCGGCTGAAGAGTGCGTTCCAGATGGTATCCTCCGCCCAAACGATGATTGCACCAAGTTTGACTTCTGCATCGGAGGAAGCTGGACTATGGTCAGTTGTTTCGAAGGAGAAATCTTCGACCCTTCTTTGAACATGTGCAGGAAAGGGACAGGTTGCCTCGGCTGTGAAAAGAAAATATATGATCCGAATAACTGCAGGGGTTTCTTCGCCTGCGATGGTAAAGGTAAACAAAGGGTCTGGAGATCTTGCAGCGAAGACCAAATATTCGATTCCGTGACCAGCGAGTGCGTCGAAATGCAGCCTTGGTGAGATCTGTTTATTTGAATTTATTTCTGCTTGAAAACATAATTTACTCTTTGTCTTAATAATAACTAATATATGCGCTTTTAATCATAACAATAAAATGAACCGTTATCTTTTTGCAAGTATTATATGTAAATATATTAATTACATATAAATAAAAGGTGTATTTAGGCAATTATGTATATCATAATACATTTAAGATCATAGAAAAACAAGAGATAAAAACTTTGCAAAAGTTAATTGATGTCATTTTTCTAAAATGACATTATATATTTATTTACACAACTTGAGGAAAATCTCAAGATTTTCCACAATCTTTTTTTTTTTTTTTTTTTATTGCAAAAATCTGTCACTTAAACATTAGTACTGGAGGAGATTACAATGCTAAACACCAACGGTGGGGTTGTCGAACATCCAACTCCCGCGGTAACATCCTTTCCCGTCTCTCATCTTCTAATAGTTATTCAATCCTCTCGACCATGAGTCCTACTTATTGGCCAACATCCCTCAAAAAACGCCCCGATATCCTGGATATATTTATCACCTCCCAGATTTCCTCCTCCCAAAATATAATCAAATCCCTGGATGACCTTTCTTCAGACCATAGTCCAGTTCTGCTTTCATTACATTCTGACTTTGCTCCTAAACCATCACCTCCCAAACTGATCACTGGACGAGTAAACTGGGACAAATTTCGTGATGATTTGGAAAACAAACTTGACCTCAAAATTCCGCTAAAGACAAAAGAAGACATTAATGGTGCCATAGAAAAACTGACATCATCAATAACAGACAGTATAAATAATAATACCTTTATCAATAAGATTAACAACCCACAAAATACTAACTTGCCACAGCATATTCGCATCTTATTAAAGGAAAAACGCAGAGCAAGATCGAAGTGGCATCGAACTAGATACCCGACAGATAAAGCGCATTACACCCAACTGACTAACAAACTGAAATCAGAAATAAGAAAATACAAAATTCAAAATTTACTAAATTTTACTGAAAAACTTACACCTACCGATAAATCTCTATGGACGACCACTAAAAGGCTCCTGAAATTTAAAGACTGCAACCATCCACTACTCACTGAAGCCCAAACCTGGTCCAAATCCGACGAAGAAAAATCCCAAATATTTGCTCACCACCTCTTTAAAACCTTTAATCCACATCCCGATATTCTTAACCCAAATCACCTTGAATGTATTGAAGCAGAACTGGATATCCCACTCCAAATGACTCCTCCTCCTAAAGCCTTTCATCCTTCAGAAATATCCAACATCATTCACAGGTTACCTTCCCGCAAAGCTCCTGGACACGACCTAATTCATCCCAGATCCTAAAACTACTTCCTCGGAAAGCCATTCTGTTCCTTACACACACACACACACACACACACACATATATATATATATATATATATATATATATATATATATATATATATATAATGCTGTGACCCTTGGAAACTATCCATTATCAAAATGATACATAAACCCAAAAAGTCACCAGAATACCCATCCTCTTACCGTCCTATCTCTCTTTTACCCATCATGGGAAAAGTCCTAGAAAAACTCATCCTAAAACGCCTGTACCCAATCCTAGATTCTAATCACATAATCCCAGATCACCAGTTTGGATTCCGCAGATCCCATTCCATTATCCAGCAATGCCATCGTGTGGTGGATGTTGTCTCCTCTGCATTAGAGCGTGGAATGTACTGCACGGGAGTCTTTCTCGATGTAGAACAGGCTTTTGATCGAGTCTGGCACCCGGGATTACTTTACAAACTCCGTAAATTCCTACATCCTACATACTTCCTCATTATCCGTTCCTATCTAACTGATAGATACTCAAAAGTCAATCACAATAATGCTTATTCATCCCTCTTTTCCCAGTCCGCTGGTGTTCCTCAAGGTAGTATCCTTGGTCCTATCCTTTACACAGTTTATACAGCTGACATCCCAACCCATCCTAACACTGTTATTACCACGTATGCCGATGATACATGTGTCCTATCCGTTAATAATGACCCAATATTGCATCCCAAACTCTTCAATCGCACATCACAAGCCTTGAAGAATGGTGTCAAAACTGCAGTATTAAAATAAATTCTAATAAATCCCATCAAATCACCTTTACCCTTCGACGTAAACCTATGACCTCATGTCCCACAGTATCCTTTAATAATACCCCACTTATCCCTGTTGAACAAATCCGATATCTTGGACTTCACTTGGACAAACGTCTAACTTGGAATCCTCATACCAGACTGAAACGAAGAGAAACCGCTCGACGTTTCCGACTACTCCAACACTTACTAGACAAACGCTCTAAGCTTCCATTTAATTACAAAAGACTTATATACATGACTACAATAAGACCTATTTGGACTTACGGAGTTGAGCTTTGGGGCTCCACTAAGCCATCGAATTCCTCTCGTATCCAATCCTTACAATCCAAAATCCTTCGGAAAATCCTCAATGCTCCTTACTTTGTCACCAATAAAATAATCCATAATGACCTTAATGTTCCTTATGTTTTCGATTTGGCCCAATTCAGATACCAATCCTTCCATAATAAACTTCAGAACCATCCGAATCCTTTCGTCTCTAACCTTGCTTCCTCTTCTATTCCTGATAACCCTCCGAGGCTTCTGAAAAGAAGATGGGCTCGAGATCTCTTATTGTAAATACATTTTGTTTTTAGAGTGCTACCAGTAGGTAGTTTCTCAACAAGTCATTTCATGTTTTTATTTTCTGTTATCAAATTTATTTAATGTATTTAATTTTTTAATACAGTTGTAATTATCTATGAATAAATAAAAAAAAAAACAAAAAAAAAAAAAACATTAGTTATAGTGAGGTAGGATAACATTCACACTATATGTACAAAAAATATAAAATAAATAGAAGCAAAATAACAATAAATAAAATAAAATCACCTAAAAATAAGATAATTAAAACTAAGCAAAAAAACACTTATATACAATCAGGCAAGGGAACTCCAGGAGAACCCTGCGCTACTCTCTCAACCGCATCACTGGTACTAAAGCCAGCGGAGATTGATCGAGATCACTTTCCACTAACCTCAATCTGATTAATATGGACTTGAAACTTATTAAATGAGGATTTTTTTTTTTAAGTGGGGAGTCTATAGTACCGTTGGATGATGATAAAAAAGTTCGTGAATAATTTATAATTTTTTTTTCCCTACGCTTGTTGACTTCTTCAGCAGGTTGGTGGTGTTAATGGCGACAGTAGTGATCGTTTTGTTCTGTCTTCTTCGAAATATCCAGGGAGCACGTGGTTTACTAACCGGACGCCATCACATTTTACTCCCTCTTCATCAAGAACTTTCCTGCAGGATGATTGACAATCTTTTGATCAAATCTTCCACCCATTTTTTTTATTTATGGGATAGTTGATTATCAGCACTATACCCACAACCTGGAGGACCAGGAGCTATGATAGACACAGGTTTCACTCACCTCCCTAAGAATCTCAGGGTGGGAACGTTATCGTCTCCATGCGGGGATCGAACCAGCGTCATCGTCTACTTAGTGGTCTAAGTAGTCGATTAGGGAGCCTGCACTTAATTATTTTTTTTTATTTTTTTTATGTGTGTTTTCTTAATTACGTGAACGGGATTTGAATACTTGATGAACAATTCTTACAGGCGCTTTAACTCGCTCGACAGCTAGTTTAGCGGCTGAAAAACAAGGGTTTTGTGTTCAGTGTTATTTAGGAAAATCGCTGTTTCCAGTTCAACGGTTGAGCAAGGAAGTGATTTGACAGAGATCATGCTAGACCGCCAGGTTTCCTCCCCTTAGTTAATTATTTAATTGAGGGAACCCACTTTATAGAGGTTGATATTCAAGGTTCTAGTGAAATTTGAAATATTTATCTGGGTTAATGTCAATGACAAATAGAATGTTAAGATCATGGTGTAGAGTTTTAATGGTTATTTGTTTTTCTTTTCTCCCCTGCCTTGCCTTTTCGGTTTACGAGGTTTTCATGGGCCATGGGAGGGGACGGTGTTTTAAAATCTGAGTTAAATGAAACCGGCACCGGGAAATCGTCATCTTCATGTTATCAGCTTGCAAGGTAACAGGTGTATTTCTAATTGGGGGCGGGGTGGCCGAATAGGCTAAAGCGTGTGTAACAGCACCGCTAGTTGCCTGGCAACCGGATAACAGAAATTTGAGATGATATAAAAAGTACGAGTTCGCGTCCCGGTGCCGAAGGGGATTTTAAATTCCCCGCCCTCACCCCCCGGCCCGGGAAAATCCGGTATAGCCTAAGCCTAAAAGGCGAGGTAGGGAAGAACAAAAAAAAAAAAAAAAAAAAAAAAAAAAAAAAAAAAAAAAAAAAAAAAAAAAAAAAAAAAAAAAAAATGTGTATTTCTAACGCGTTAGTTCGCTCGGTCACCCGCCTACTTTTTATTGGTTACATAGTACATTTATAATTGTTCATAGGACTTTGGACTGAAAGGGTTGGATGTTTTCGAAGTCCGCAAGTCCAAATAATTTTAGGATCGCCTAGCAGATTTGTAATTTTTTGTTAATCAAAAGCTGAGATATTCAGGTATACGTTTGGACATTTCGTTGGTTAAACTCTTGTCTTCCAATTGTAATATGTGGATATCGAGATATTGAAGGGTTTTTCTTAATGTGAATGGTTTAAAAATTATTGGTAAATGCTTTTAAAATATTATACCAAATTGATTTAAATTCATTGCTGTGCTTCATCCCCACAAATGGGATTACATTAAAGTTGCTATCTTTTAGGGGTGAAATTATTCGGGATGCCATTAGATAATTATTGATGATAACTACCCAAAGAATGTTTATAATTTTTTTTTTTTTAATCTATTTATTGAATAATAATACAATCAGCCAGTGCTGGAGGGCTATAAGTATTAGGGCTAAGAGTTCTCATTCATACAATATATACACATAATAGAGAAATAAATATAAATATAAAAAGTAAATAAATAATACTGATGTAGAGAAATAAATATAAATATAAAAAGTAAATAAATAATACTGATGAGTAAATAAATAATACTGATGTAATAAAAATTAGTAAAAGAAATTTGAATCTATAATATATTGATTGGTTCAGGATTAATTAATTGAATTTTTTTTTCTCAAACGCTGGTTCGTGTGTTATCATGCTTTCTAATTACCAACATTGCCTGTAATCATCATGATATAAATGTGTGGCAGAATGAAAATAACTTTTACTAAAAAACTTATTTTATTATTATGTTTAATAAAGTGTTACTAACTATTAATAATTAATAAGTATTATTAGTTAATTACGTGAAAATCTTAATGTACAACTTATATTTATAATAATCAAAATAAAACTATAATCCAATGAATTTAATAAATGACTGTGAAGGTTTGATTTCAGATGAACTGTTTTGAGAATTTTGCAATGAAATATTTTAACATTAATAACTTTACGATTGTCTGAGAATTAATTTCATCTGAGGCTCTAAGAATTGGTGTAGTTAATAGCTGGGAGTGTTTTTCTCTGAGATTTCATCACGCATCAGCTGATTGGATGTCATCTTGTCCCGTGACATCCTAGCGCCAACTCCGAAAAGCCCATCTCTCCGGTCTGTGTAGACCCAACTGCACTCTAAGGGCCGAAAAAAGACATAAGATATAGAGCATTTTCATCTATGAGACTTTATACAAATATTCAGGGTGGAGCAAGGATGGTTTTGATTGGTTCTCAACTTCTACAGCTAGATTGTTAACACACACACAGACCATTTTGTGAGATTTGGTTATTTGGACTCAGGGGACCTCAAAACGTGTTCTCTCGTTGAAAACTGAGATTCGAAAATTTTCACGATCGCAATACTTTCCTTTACTATATATTTCATATATATAAGTAAGTGGGATAAAGTATTATTGTGCTTCTCAGTGTTTTGTATTTTTCAAGTTTGTTCTGTTAGTTTTGTTGTATCGTTTCCTACTGTTTGTGTTATTTTAGTGTTTTATAGTTTTTTGAACATGATTTAGTTTTAGTTTATGTTTATTTAGTTAATTTTATAAACTTTTTGAGTGAACAGTGGAGGTTAAGGTTAACTTTGTGGTTTTCACGAAGGTTTAATCTAACCAAAAGGACGTTTAGAGACTATTACGTTGGTGAAGCACTAAGGTAAGTTCATATTAACTTCAACGTCTTACGTCATAAAACTTCAAAGTCTTACTTTTGAAGATAGGAAATTTATAAGTTTCCCGAACGTAGGTTAGATTTTGAGTGTTGAATATTTCCTTCTACTGTTGTTCACCCATTATTTCAACGTATAAAGCTGTTAATTTTGGATTGCGTAAGATGGCTGATGAAATTGCATCAGCAATGGAGCAGGAAATGGTGGAAGAACAGGCTATAAAGTGCCCAAGGCCTTCAGCAAAGAGGCAAAGGAAAGGATCTCCTGACGCCCGAGAAGAAACAGATAAAGAACGTGTAGACGATAGTCTTCTGCAAGATGCACGTAGAATCAAAGAAAACATCAGGGTCTACATGAACGCAACAGACAGGAACGTGAGTGCGAAGGTACAAAAGCACGTTAATGGGAAAATTCAGCAGTTAATAGATATAATGGAGACAATATATGATAAGAACTATGAAAAAACGTTTTTAGTACAACGTGTGGTAAAGGACACATTAGCTTCCTCTGAAATGTATGATATCATAGTAAATGCATTAGTGGAAAAAGCAGTACCTATGGTAATCGAGGGAATCAAGACGGAAAGTAAAACCATACAAAGACCACTGTCAGAACCTCAGACATCTCGGGAGTTTCCATGCGTTAAAGAACAACCGCTATTAGCCGATGCCCTTATTGAGACCACGGAGAATGAAAGTTTCCAGGAAGTAAAGAAAAAGCAAAGAAGGAAAAAGGCTCTTCCACAAGTGGCCAAAGAGATCGAGGCCTCTAAACCTATAGCAGAGGAAAGTTTGACCAAGAAAAGATCTACACATCAGACTACGATGGCCGATATTGTTAAAGGGCTTCCATTAAAACCGATGGATACTACAAGACCAACTTATGTTACCATCGCTTCTCAAGGTAAAAGTGCAGCTGACATCATCAACAACCTGCCTTCTCCAACTGAACTAGGAGTCAAGGCGAGAGTTGTACGGGCGACCAAAGCTGGCTCAGTTTTAGTTTGTGTAGATGAGGGTGCCCATGCGAAAAAAATAATTGAATGGCAAAAATTAAAAGAAGTTGGGATGGAGGCAAAACTAGCCTTAAAAAGAAAACCAAAAGTGGAGGTAAAAGGAGTTCCCCTTTCATGGACTGCGGAAAATCTAGAAAGGGTGCTATGGGAAAGGTTGGCTGCAAAATCGGCCGCTATTTCTGAGAACCAATTAGGTAATATAAAGCCATTGTTCTCATCAATGGGTAGAAATAAAATTACCAATAATTGGGTGTTAGAAGTACATCCAATGGTAAGATATAATCTACTCAAGGAGGAGATAATTACAGGAGGTTGGTGGTCACTGACAATCTTAGATTACCCCGATGCTCCTCCCTGTCTAAGGTGTCAGGGATATGGACATACAAAAGCTACTTGTGAGGCAAATGGCATAGTATGCAAGTGGTGTGCGGCGAGTGGGCATATTGCTAAAAACTGTCCCGCAAAAGGAAATAAGACCGCACCTACATGCGTTAACTGCGTGAGGGAAGGTGTTCAAAAAAGTAAGGCTAAACACCAGGCAGGAAGTAGAGAATGCCCAGTGCACATCAAGAGATCTCAAGAATTAGTGAGGAGAACTCACTATGATTAGACTCAACATCCTGCAGTTGAATATGGGCCGCCGGCATATTGTGGCTGACGAGCTTCGCGCCATGGCACAACGCTACGATATCATGGCGGTCCAGGAACCTAGCTGCCGTGGGAACAGGGTTACGGGGTTTGGCCTCACGTCAAGAGTTATAGCCCTGAGCAGTGGAGAGAGGAGGCCCAGGGCTGCAATAGTGATTAATAATCCTAACCTTGACGTGATGGATCTGAGACAACACACCATGGCGGATTATGCATCTTGCTATGTTAAGTGGGGCAAGATTTCTTTCACATTGGTATCGGCATACCTACCTGTGAATAGTGATGTAGAAGAAAGCATATCCGCTATGGAGGCGATCATTAGAGAGATGAGGAATGTGATCATGTGCTCAGATACCAACTCCTGGAACACGGTCTGGGGGTCCAATATTACTGACAGGCGAGGCGCTAAAATGGGAAATTTCATAGGCAGAAATCACCTTGTCGTGATGAACGAACCCTCTGCCACCCCTACCTTCTCTGGAGGCATGGGGCAGAGTTGGATTGACGTCACGATCGCCACGCCTGCGCTTACGAGGTATATTGCTGATTGGACTCTCAGATCTGATACGAGTTCCGATCACGTTGCGATAGCAATTGGCCTGGTAAATGAGCCAGGATATTCCCACGGTACTGATAAGGGTTTCGTCACTAAAATAAATGACTGGAGTGTCTTCAGGTCCTACCTGGAAGGAGTGATTGCAGACGAGGAGTGGGAAGCGGCAGAGATGGATGTAGTCGACAATCTGGACTACAAGGTGTCCAGGATTACCAACATCATTCGTGATGCTGCCGAACACTCCCTCAAGCACCGGAAGGCGAGGGTTCGACCTGTCCCATGGTGGACGCCAGCCTTAACTGTTCTAAAACGAGACCTCTACAAGGCCCGGCGGTCATATCAGAGGTGCAGATGCGACGAGAGGCGCACTGTACTTCGCAATGAGTACAAGTCAAAAGCCAGGATATACCGAAACGAGGTTCGCTCACAAAAGCGGAAGTCTTGGGACGATTTCATCATTGAAGAGTCTTTGAAGAATCCCTGGGGTATTCCGTATAGGGTAGCATTGGGTAAGTTGTCCCCGATGCAGACTATTGCAGCCTTGCGGTATCATGATACTGAGGCAACCACCCTTGAAGAAACTGCCAATGTTTTCATTGAAGCAATATATCCCAGAGATGACCCAATCCAGGACAGCGAAAATGATGATTTTGTGAGACGCACCACGGTATATCCACCTGGTTCAGATTTGTGCCCACCATGGGACATTCACGATCTTCGTATTGCCGTGGATAAGCAGAAGACTAATCGTGCTCCAGGACTTGATGCAATAGATGCAGCGATCTTAAGGAACAGTATCACGTATATTGAAGACCGGCTGTTGAGTATTTTCAATGAATGTCTGGATATGGGATACTTTCCAAGAAGATGGAAGATCGCTGATTTGAGACTACTCTACAAGGGAGGAGATAGGGACAAACAACTCCCTAATTCATATAGACCTATATGTCTCCTCCCTGTGATTAGCAAGGTCCTGGAGAACCTCATGATGACTAGTTTACGGCCTGTTTTCGCTAGAGCAAGTCATCCACGGCAATATGGATCAACCAGAGGCAGAGGAACCGCTGATGCCCTGCTGAGAGTGCGCAGAGATGTTGAGGAGAGGGCGGAGCGGTATGTCATGTTGCTTCTTTTCGACATATCCTCCGCCTTCGACAGCGTATGGTGGCCTAGCGTGCTCCAGCAGCTGCAGAGGTATGATGCTCCTAGTAACTTATACACACTAGTAAGAAGTTATCTCCAGGATAGAAGTGTCAAGATTAGAGGCAATTACTACGAGGTAGAAGCTTCCATAGAGAGAGGTTGCCCTCAGGGATCGGTGCTTGGTCCTGCTCTATGGATGCTCGTCTTGGATGAGTTACTGGGAGTGTTAGAGGAGGAGCGGTTTCCTGCCACTGCTTACGTTGACGACCTAGCTGCTGTGGTGGCCTCCAACAGCAGAGCTGGAGTCAAGAGAGAAGCAGAGCGATGCGCCAGCCTAGTCGCTAGATGGTGTGAGGGGAAGAAGATGAGGATGGCTGCTGCTAAGACTCAAGCCATCCTCCTTAAGGGAAAGACTGATAGGGCACACCCTATAACGATGTACATAGAAGGTCAGAGGATACGTCCAAGTGAGGTGGTAACCTACCTAGGGGTTAGGTTAGGTGTAGGCCTCAATATGACGCCTCATTTGGAATATCTGGCAGGTAGGGTGGCCCTAGCAATGAACGGTCTAAGTCGTGTGGGGGGCGCATTTTGGGGCCTTAGGTATCCAGCCACTATCACTATTTATAAGGGTGTTGTGGAGGGTATCCTTAGGTATGCGTCTCCCTTCTGGTTCCGAAACCTCACACTCAGACAAAGAAATAGGCTAGCATCGACTCAGAGAACTGCTCTGCTTCGGGTCACCAGAGCATATAGGTCTACGTCGCATGAAGCAGTGCAGGTCTTAGCGGAGGTGGTGCCTCTCGACCTCCTCCTGCGAGAAGAAGTGACCAGGTACGACTACAAGAAGGAGGGCTCAACTAGTCTGACGGAGAACCTACGGATGAGGATTATTGAAAACCCAAATAAATGGAAAAAGATTATCCGGGAGGAAACAATTGAAGATTGGAGCAGACGGTTGGTGACGACTTCGAAAGGCAGTACCTTAAGAAAATACTTTCCCACCGTTGAATCTCGGTTACAGGCGAAATGGGTCCTCCCGGACTATTGGGTTTCACAATTTCTCACGGGGCATGGGGGTTTCAGAGCTAAACTCCATGGCTTCGGACAGGATATAGATCCCCACTGCCCCGCTTGTGGTGTTCCGGAGACTGTTGAGCATGTGGTCACGGCCTGCACTGCTTTCGACGAATTAAGAGCGAGGTTAATGAGAACCACGGAAATTTACGTCCTCACTGAGGAGGAGTTTCCTCAGTTGGTGAGTGAAGAAAACTTTCCGCGGTTCAAAGACTTTATAAATGGCTGGAAGACGGCTGTAGGCCCAGCTCACTTCAACCTAGGTGCACACAGAAGGAGAAGAGGACCAGTCCCAGGAAGACCTCCGGATTCGGGAAACCAGGCCTGAAGGAGCCAGGAAAAAGTAGAAGAGCTAGCTGTGTGCACAGCTTAGAACTTTGTAAACTGATATTATGGCAGTAGTGTGTTATTATGCATTAATGCTTAACATCACACTACTGCATACACCCGTGTTGCCCTGGTGGCATGGGAGGGTGGAAAACAAATAAAAAAAAAAAAAAATATATAAGTAAGTGCAAGTAAGAGTGTGCCGTAGGAGGGTCTCCTATTGCCAAGGTCTATATACGACTGGTATAACAGCATAAATACTCGCCACATCAGGACTGGAAACAGGGAACTTCAGCATAAGAACCCAATGTCTTACCCTCTGAGCAACCCCGCTCCTAATTAAAGGAGGTTGGTCTATAAAAATGGAGTTCAGTGCAGCCAACTGCACATTCCTATTTAGAACTGTTGTCGAGATATGGTTTTCTAAGAAAAACGAGTATTTTTTTTAAAATCCCAATTCCTTTAATAAAAGTGAACCTTTTCCAATTTTCGTTTAAAATATTTATGAAGGGGAACCAATTAGCAGGAAAACTGCGACTCATCGGGAGCTTCTTGCGACTAAAGCAATGTGAACAAGAAAAATAAATCTGGCAAGTTAATCACCAAACTTGTTTGGTAAATTAGAAAAAAGTAAGAACCACGAACAGAGCTCTTTTATTTATTTTAAAAATATTAAAATTCCAAAAAGCTACAATGCTTTCAAAGATTTAAGAGAACAATCTTCCGTGCGATAACTGGAGCGATCTAGGATCAGAGAATGTTGTAGAAAGAACTGCTTAGAGAAACTTGTCAGTTACATCAAGTCAAGAAGGATAAAATGGGCGGGACGTGTAGCTCTGAGCGATCCATTAGTAAATCTCTACAACTAACAACAGTTCGATAGATCGAATCAATAGAGCTGCATGTAGATTAGAATTAGCCATCTTTCTTAATGTTTGGTCAAATCTTTTCGCAGAAGGAGGTACAGTCCCATTTTGACTCCTATCCTGAAGAATCTTGTCTTCTTAAACGACAGATTACATAATAAGTACGCTAGGCTATCCCCTTCGACAATGTTAAACTTTCCCAAACTTCTGTAAGAGCCTTCTCGATAAGCGCTGTTAATGGTTGCCTTAAAATTCACGAAAAAGTAGTCCGTACCAATATTAAGCAAATAGTCAATTGGTACGGATTCGTCAATTCGTCAATACGGATTGTTCAATTGGTGGTCAATGACCAGTTGTAGATTCTCTTCGTTGAAACCCACGTCAACATGATCCTATTATTTTTGTTTGAACGGATAATAACAACCAGCAAGAAAAGTGAACACAAAGAAGAGATCCCCTCAGTTCCACTTTATTGCTGCAAATAATCTTCCTTACCCGAATGTTACTAAGGGTCATTACAGTCTTACATCAAAAACTTCCACAAAAATATGGTTTTCATAAAAATTTTAATTTAATTAAACAATGAATGTGTGTCCTACTAAACTTTGGGGCTAATCATTACAATGTACTAATAATTCTTCATAGAGTTTCAGCTTATTGTCGATCATGTGCCGTCAACTAATATGCTTATTGAATGTGTGAATGTATTACTTAACAAATGGCACATAATGAATGGATTACTATTACAGGGAAACATGTTTCGGTCCAACTACAGTTGAACCAAGCGATGCAACATCTACACTAACAGTGCCAACAAGTTTAACAACGACAACGGGATCATTAACCAAAGGGCCTACATCGGAAACATCTCTCACAACTCAAACAGATTCGCCAACATCAGAAACAACTATCACAACTCAAACGGATTCGCCTACATCAGAAACAACTCTCACAACTCAAACGGATTCGCCAACATCAGAAACAACTCTCACAACTCAAACGGATTCGCCAACATCAGAAACAACTCTCACAACTCAAACGGAATCGCCTACATCTGAAACAACTCTCACAAGTCAAACGGATTCGCCTACATCAGAAACAACTCTCACAACTCAAACGGATTCGCCTACATCAGAAACAACTCTCACAACTCAAACGGATTCGCCAACATCAAAAACAACTCTCACAACTCAAACAGATTCGCCTACATCAGAAACAACTCTCACAACTCAAACGGATTCGCCAACATCAGAAACAACTCTCACAACTCAAACAGATTCGCCAACATCAGAAACAACTATCACAACTCAAACGGATTCGCCAACATCAGAAACAACTCTCACAACTCAAACGGATTCGCCTACATCTGAAACAACTCTCACAAGTCAAACGGATTCGCCTACATCAGAAACAACTCTCACAACTCAAACGGATTCGCCTACATCAGAAACAACTCTCACAACTCAAACGGATTCGCCAACATCAAAAACAACTCTCACAACTCAAACAGATTCGCCTACATCAGAAACAACTCTCACAACTCAAACGGATTCGCCAACATCAGAAACAACTCTCACAACTCAAACGGATTCGCCAACATCAGAAACAACTATCACAACTCAAACGGATTCGCCTACATCAGAAACAACTCTCCCAACTCAAACGGATTCGCCTACATCAGAAACAACTCTCACAACTCAAACGGATTCGCCTACATCTGAAACAACTCTCACAACTCAAACGGATTCGCCAACATCAGAAACAACTCTCACAACTCAAACGGATTCGCCTACATCAGAAACAACTCTCACAACTCAAACGGATTCGCCTACATCAGAAACAACTCTCACAACTCAAACGGATTCACCAACATCAGAAACAACTCTCACAACTCAAACGGATTCGCCTACATCAGAAACAACTCTCACAACTAAAACAGATTCGCCTACATCTGAAACAACTCTCACAACTCAAACGGATTCGCCTACATCAGAAACAACTCTCACAACTCAAACGGATTCGCCTACATCAGAAACAACTCTCACAACTCAAACGGATTCGCCTACATCAGAAACAACTCTCACAACTCAAACGGATTCGCCAACATCAGAACCAACTCTCACAACTCAAACGGATTTGCCTACATCAGAAACAACTATCACAACTCAAACGGATTCGCCTACATCAGAAACAACTCTCCCAACTCAAACGGATTCGCCTACATCAGAAACAACTCTCACAACTCAAACGGATTCGCCTACATCTGAAACAACTCTCACAACTCAAACGGATTCGCCAACATCAGAAACAACTCTCACAACTCAAACGGATTCGCCAACATCAGAAACAACTCTCACAACTCAAACGGATTCGCCTACATCTGAAACAACTCTCACAAGTCAAACGGATTCGCCTACATCAGAAACAACTCTCACAACTCAAACGGATTCGCCTACATCAGAAACAACTCTCACAACTCAAACGGATTCGCCTACATCTGAAACAACTCTCACAAGTCAAACGGATTCGCCTACATCAGAAACAACTCTCACAACTCAAACGGATTCGCCTACATCTGAAACAACTCTCACAACTCAAACGGATTCGCCTACATCAGAAACAACTCTCACAACTCAAACGGATTCGCCTACATCAGAAACAACTCTCACAACTCAAACGGATTCACCAACATCAGAAACAACTCTCACAACTCAAACGGATTCGCCTACATCAGAAACAACTCTCACAACTAAAACAGATTCGCCTACATCTGAAACAACTCTCACAACTCAAACGGATTCGCCTACATCAGAAACAACTCTCACAACTCAAACGGATTCGCCTACATCAGAAACAACTCTCACAACTCAAACGGATTCGCCTACATCAGAAACAACTCTCACAACTCAAACGGATTCGCCAACATCAGAACCAACTCTCACAACTCAAACGGATTTGCCTACATCAGAAACAACTCTCACAACTCAAACGGATTCGCCTACATCTGAAACAACTCTAACAACTAAAACAGATTCGCCTACATCTGAAACAACTCTCACAACTCAAACGGATTCGCCAACATCAGAAACAATTCTCACAACTCAAACGCATTCGCCTACATCAGAAACAACTCTCACAACTCAAACGGATTCGCCAACATCAGAAACAACTCTCACAACTCAAACGGATTCGCCTACATCAGAAACAACTCTCACAACTCAAACGGATTCACCAACATCAGAAACAACTCTCACAACTCAAACGGATTCGCCTACATCAGAAACAGCTCTCACAACTCAAACGGATTCGCCAACATCAGAAACAGCTCTCACAACTCAAACGGATTCGCCAACATCAGAAACAACTCTCACAACTCAAACGGATTCGCCAACATCAGAAACAACTCTCACAACTCAAACGGATTGGCCTACATCTGAAACAACTCTCACAAGTCAAACGAATTCGCCTACATCAGTAACAACTCTCACAACTCAAACGGATTCGCCTACATCAGAAACAACTCTCACAACTCAAACGGATTTGCCTACATCAATAACAACTCTCACAACTCAAACGGATTCGCCTACATCAGAACCAACTCTCACAACTCAAACGGATTTGCCTACATCAGTAACAACTCTCACAACTCAAACGGATTCGCCTACATCAGAAACAACTCTCACAACTCAAACGGATTTGCCTACATCAGTAACAACTCTCACAACTCAAACGGATTCGCCTACATCAGAAACAACTCTCACAACTCAAACGGATTCGCCTACATCTGAAACAACTCTCACAACTAAAACAGATTCGCCTACATCTGAAACAACTCTCACAACTCAAACGGATTCGCCAACATCAGAAACAACTCTCACAACTCAAACGCATTCGCCTACATCAGAAACAACTCTCACAACTCAAACGGATTCGCCAACATCAGAAACAACTCTCACAACTCAAACGGATTCGCCTACATCAGAAACAACTCTCACAACTCAAACGGATTCACCAACATCAGAAACAACTCTCACAACTCAAACGGATTCGCCTACATCAGAAACAACTCTCACAACTCAAACGGATTCGCCAACATCAGAAACAACTCTCACAACTCAAACGGATTCGCCTACATCAGAAACAACTCTCACAACTCAAACGGATTCGCCAACATCAGAAACAACTCTCACAACTCAAACAGATTCGCCTACATCAGAAACAACTCTCACAACTCAAACGGATTCGCCTACATCTGAAACAACTCTCACAACTCAAACAGATTCGCCTACATCAGAAACAACTCTCACAACTCAAACGGATTCGCCTACATCTGAAACAACTCTCACAACTCAAACAGATTCGCCTACATCAGAAACAACTCTCACAACTCAAACGGATTCGCCTACATCTGAAACAACTCTCACAACTCAAACGGATTCGCCTACATCTGAAACAACTCTCACAACTCAAACAGATTCGCCTACATCAGAAACAACTCTCACAACTCAAACGGATTCGCCTACATCTGAAACAACTCTCACAAGTCAAACGAATTCGCCTACATCAAAAACAACTCTCACACCTATGACAGATTCGCCTACTTCTGCAGGAACTCTCACACCTTCAATTAGACCAACCCCACCACCACTTACTACGCCTTGTAGGTGGGGACAATTGGTGCCTAATATTTACAATTGCAAGCTATACTTTAGATGTGATATATTTCAAAGATGGGTATCTGAACAATGCTTTCTGTTTTCCTTTTTCGACACAGTATCCCGAAAATGCGTAATTAGGAATGCAAGATGCGCTGGAACGGGATATGATTCATCTCCAGTGGCTAGTACACCTTTTGCTCATTCAAAAGAATCTGCTACAACCGAACCAATTATCCCAGTTCATACGGATTCGCCTTCATTTGCAACTACTCTTGCTCCCCAAACTTATTCGCCTACATCAGAAACAACTTTCACAACTCAAACGGATTCGCCTACATCTGCAGCAACTCTCACAACTCAAACGGATTCACCTACATCAGAAACAACTCTCACACCTATAACGGATTCGCCAACATCTGAAACAACTCTCACACCTATAACGGATTCGTCTACTTCTGCAGGAACTCTCACACCTTCAATTAGACCAACCCCACCACCACTTACTACGCCTTGTAGGTGGGGACAATTGGTGCCTAATATTTACAATTGCAAGCTATACTTTAGATGTGATATATTTCAAAGATGGGTATCTGAACAATGCTTTCTGTTTTCTTTTTTCGACGCAGTATCCCGAAAATGCGTAATTAGGAATGCAAGATGCGCTGGAACGGGATATGATTCATCTCCAGTGGCTAGTACACCTTTTGCTCATTCAAAAGAATCTGCTACAACCGAACCAATTATCCCAGTTCATACGGATTCGCCTTCATTTGCAACTACTCTTGCTCCCCAAACTTATTCGCCTACATCAGAAACAACTTTCACAACTCAAACGGATTCGCCTACATCTGCAGCAACTCTCACAACTCAAACGGATTCACCTACATCAGAAACAACTCTCACACCTATAACGGATTCGCCAACATCTGAAACAACTCTCACACCTATAACGGATTCGTCTACTTCTGCAGGAACTCTCACACCTTCAATTAGACCAACCCCACCACCACTTAGTACTCCTTGTAGGTGGGGACAATTGGTGCCTAATATTTACAATTGCAAGCTATACTTTAGATGTGATATATTTCAAAGATGGGTATCTGAACAATGCTTTCTGTTTTCCTTTTTCGACGCAGTATCCCGAAAATGCGTAATTAGGAATGCAAGATGCGCTGGAACGGGATATGATTCATCTCCAGTGGCTAGTACACCTTTTGCTCATTCAAAAGAATCTGCTACAACCGAACCAACTCTCACAACTCAAACGGATTCGCCTACATCTGAAACAACTCTCACAACTCAAACGGATTCGCCAACATCAGAAACAACTCTCACAACTCAAACGCATTCGCCTACATCAGAAACAACTCTCACAACTCAAACGGATTCGCCAACATCAGAAACAACTCTCACAACTCAAACGGATTCGCCTACATCAGAAACAACTCTCACAACTCAAACGGATTCACCAACATCAGAAACAACTCTCACAACTCAAACGGATTCGCCTACATCAGAAACAACTCTCACAACTCAAACGGATTCGCCAACATCAGAAACAACTCTCACAACTCAAACGGATTCGCCTACATCCGAAACAACTCTCACAACTCAAACGGATTCGCCAACATCAGAAACAACTCTCACAACTCAAACAGATTCGCCTACATCAGAAACAACTCTCACAACTCAAACGGATTCGCCTACATCTGAAACAACTCTCACAACTCAAACAGATTCGCCTACATCAGAAACAACTCTCACAACTCAAACGGATTCGCCTACATCTGAAACAACTCTCACAACTCAAACAGATTCGCCTACATCAGAAACAACTCTCACAACTCAAACGGATTCGCCTACATCTGAAACAACTCTCACAACTCAAACGGATTCGCCTACATCTGAAACAACTCTCACAACTCAAACAGATTCGCCTACATCAGAAACAACTCTCACAACTCAAACGGATTCGCCTACATCTGAAACAACTCTCACAAGTCAAACGAATTCGCCTACATCAAAAACAACTCTCACACCTATGACAGATTCGCCTACTTCTGCAGGAACTCTCACACCTTCAATTAGACCAACCCCACCACCACTTACTACGCCTTGTAGGTGGGGACAATTGGTGCCTAATATTTACAATTGCAAGCTATACTTTAGATGTGATATATTTCAAAGATGGGTATCTGAACAATGCTTTCTGTTTTCCTTTTTCGACACAGTATCCCGAAAATGCGTAATTAGGAATGCAAGATGCGCTGGAACGGGATATGATTCATCTCCAGTGGCTAGTACACCTTTTGCTCATTCAAAAGAATCTGCTACAACCGAACCAATTATCCCAGTTCATACGGATTCGCCTTCATTTGCAACTACTCTTGCTCCCCAAACTTATTCGCCTACATCAGAAACAACTTTCACAACTCAAACGGATTCGCCTACATCTGCAGCAACTCTCACAACTCAAACGGATTCACCTACATCAGAAACAACTCTCACACCTATAACGGATTCGCCAACATCTGAAACAACTCTCACACCTATAACGGATTCGTCTACTTCTGCAGGAACTCTCACACCTTCAATTAGACCAACCCCACCACCACTTACTACGCCTTGTAGGTGGGGACAATTGGTGCCTAATATTTACAATTGCAAGCTATACTTTAGATGTGATATATTTCAAAGATGGGTATCTGAACAATGCTTTCTGTTTTCTTTTTTCGACGCAGTATCCCGAAAATGCGTAATTAGGAATGCAAGATGCGCTGGAACGGGATATGATTCATCTCCAGTGGCTAGTACACCTTTTGCTCATTCAAAAGAATCTGCTACAACCGAACCAATTATCCCAGTTCATACGGATTCGCCTTCATTTGCAACTACTCTTGCTCCCCAAACTTATTCGCCTACATCAGAAACAACTTTCACAACTCAAACGGATTCGCCTACATCTGCAGCAACTCTCACAACTCAAACGGATTCACCTACATCAGAAACAACTCTCACACCTATAACGGATTCGCCAACATCTGAAACAACTCTCACACCTATAACGGATTCGTCTACTTCTGCAGGAACTCTCACACCTTCAATTAGACCAACCCCACCACCACTTAGTACTCCTTGTAGGTGGGGACAATTGGTGCCTAATATTTACAATTGCAAGCTATACTTTAGATGTGATATATTTCAAAGATGGGTATCTGAACAATGCTTTCTGTTTTCCTTTTTCGACGCAGTATCCCGAAAATGCGTAATTAGGAATGCAAGATGCGCTGGAACGGGATATGATTCATCTCCAGTGGCTAGTACACCTTTTGCTCATTCAAAAGAATCTGCTACAACCGAACCAACTCTCACAACTCAAACGGATTCGCCTACATCCGAAACAACTCTCACAACTCAAACGGATTCGCCAACATCAGAAACAACTCTCACAACTCAAACGGATTCGCCTACATCTCCAGGAACTCTCACATCTTCAATTATACCAACCCCACCATCACTTACTACTCCTTGTATGTGGGGACAACTAGTTCCTAATATTTACAACTGCAAGCTATACTTTAGATGTGATATATTTCAAAGGTGGGTGTCCGAGGAATGTTGTTTATTTTCATTTTTCGACGCAGTGTCCCTCAAATGCTTAAGTAGGAATGCAAGTTGCGCTGAAACGGGATATGAATTATCGCCAGATCCAAAAATACCCTCTGCACCTGGAATAACTCCCCCACCTCAAACAGATTCTTCTGTTCCTGGAACGACTCCCATACCTCAAACAAGTTCACCCACACCTGGAACAGAATCGACATCACTAAGAGCTGCAACGTCTGAACTTGCTACCTCAGCTCCCACTCCACCACCACTTACTATACCTTGTAGGTGGGGACAACTCGTTCCTAATATTTATAACTGCAAGCTATACTTTAGATGTGATATATTTCAAAGATGGAAGTCAGAACAGTGTTCTCTGTTTTCTTTTTTCGACGTAGTCTCCCTAAAATGTGTAAGGAGTAATCCAAGATGCGCCAGAACGGGATAATATTTATGTAAATATCATCCTCACTAAGTAAGCGATGTCCTCTAACTTGGAACAATTTTTTTTTTTTTAAGCTTTTAAATAAACTTTTTAAATTTAAGCTTCTAAATATAGAATTTTACTATGTTTTAAAAAAGGTATATTTATGCAAAGAATTTATTAGGATAATAATATTAATGAAAATAGTCTTTCTATGAATTCTGCCTTCTTCAATCCTCATTTGACATAGGAACGCTAATGCACTAAGAACTGAGGTTGTAAACAAACACTTCAGCCCCATTAATAAATAATTCAATATATAAAGCTTACTATGTTAGTATATGTGCGTGTTGATAATACTAGGGTGAGAGAAAACAGCATTTAAATTTGTTTTTTGGGTTATAATGAATGGTAAGTATGCTTTTTAAAAATATAGATAATCAGAAAAAAATCTAAGACGTTTGCTTCAGACCACGTGATAGAAGTGAAAACATCAACAACATGAGATTAATAATATTAAATATAAATTATAAATAATAGCTCATTACAGAGAGAATGAAATGCTGGACAATTTCCTCGCTAACAGTATGAAGGTCCGATTTATAGTTTCTGAGATATTTTAATCCACACGCATAAACTCTTCAAATAGTCGACTACAGCCGACTCAACTCGAGCGTTACACATCGCAGACGTTAACTATTTTCTGTTATGATATGACATTAGTATTGTCCAGTGATATAATTGTCATAATAATCATGAATCATTATAAAAAGTGACCGAAATTTTATAATGATTCATAACCTTTATTATAATAGTACTGTATAATATTTAAAAAGTCTAATATTTGTTTTACAAAGTGTTAATTAACAAGGTTCAGTTTCTTTCAATTAGTGAAACTCCCTACCTTATTGTGATAATGAACTATGTAACAGAGAGTTTATTTAATAGGAAATCAGCTTGCTATACAGGAAAATATCTCTTCGGTAATAAGGTCGTTTTATTGCAAAAAGTCATTAAGTGACATTTCATAACCTCAAATAACTAGAAATTTTGGTACTAATTCCGAAGTGGTACTCTTTCAGCCATCTTTGTTGATGGCAGGTTATCCACAATGTTTCAGATAAGGCTTACAACAGTTAGCACCAGGCAGCGCCACTATTGCGGAGGAGGATTCTTGTCCCCTTCATATCACATTAATTTTAAGTTAATATATTAATGTTAATATATCGGTTAGGTTACATATTACACGCATTTTTTTAACGTTAGCATTTTTTTCCCACCATTTTCACTATTAAACATTAAAACCCTTATAGAAAATTGTCAATTGTTTAATTCTTCTTTAATTGTATTAATATTGGAAATAGGTAATGTGTTAGGAATTCATTTATTATTTTTCTAATATTACACTGTTTTATAAATTACTTTAAATGTATGCATCATAGTCTTGTTGAATACAGTTTTTACTTTCCATTTGAATATCCAAATGGATTTTAACTGAATTCCTAGCTCCCTAAGTATTGTTATTCCTACTTATTGTGGATACTAATCCGAAAAAATACAGAGGTTTGTGATTATCATTGGTGTGAAACAAAAATTGAAATGGTTTAACTTTCTTCTTAGAAATAATACTAATTCCGTAATAATAAGTAATAAGTAATAATAATTACTTATCCGTCTCTATAAAATAATATTATAACGAGTTTTTATTTTTATTAACAAGGTACAGAGAATTCGTTTGTTCTTACTAGTATTTCTTGTATTTCTCATAATAACATAATTATTAATAGAATCCTATAGAATGGCAGGTACAAGATGCGCAGTTGCATCTAGCTACAATAATCTAATTGACGCAAAGAAGATGGGAAAGAAAATTTCATTTCATACTTTTCCAAAGGATGCTCGAAGAAAAGATTGGATTTTAAAATGTAAATGTAAAAATATTGTAAAAAAATTGACTAATCTTTTTCTTTGGAAACAAAATGTAGAATTAATGAAGAACTAGTAAAGGCTTTCTTTCAGCAACGGGTATTTTTATTTTTTAAGAAAACAGAAAATCAAAGGCAAAAAACTTGAGAAAAATCACTACATAAGATTACTTATGAGATAAAAATATAATATTTACAAAAATTCACGGAAAGAAAACGCTTCTTTAATTTTAGATCAAACACTTTTTCTTTTATTTTTTTAAATATTTCTATTATTTTATATTATGCTCTGTTATTTTATATTTATTTGAAATATTTAAAAAAAATATTATTGTGATACTTTGCAAAAAATCATACATCAACTTGTTAAATTACATTTTATTTGCTTCAGAATAAACCAAATATCAAATCAACATTTCTCTCACCTTTCAAATTTATTAAAATTAATAAGTTATTTGGCAATAAAGTATTCATTTAATGTAGAAAAGTAAATAATAATCTTAAAATGTCCAGAAACAAAGGCCGGAGGGGTAAAATCAGTCTATTGGCTACGTCAGAGCTCGATTCCTCCCCACCATTACTCCCTCTGAGTGAGCGAACCTGGTAGTTTTATTGACCTTGACTAAAACAAGAGGCAACTAGAATCGATCTCTCTGTACAAAGAGGTAGCACCAGCTTGTGTATGGTATAGGCTAAGTTGTTTTAGGACGTTTGTGATTGGACAGAACGAACCCTAAGTAAACTTCGAAGAATTTTTCCTTTGTTAATTCAGAAAATTGTGTACTTACAAGGGAGAACTGCATTCAGTGGGGCACTGATTTAAAACAAATTTTTGTTATACTATATCGAAAAATATTGGACACATTTTACGACATTCGTTCCAATGGGTCGAAATTATATAATTTTTTTTTCTCTGTTTCTAGGGTACCGATTGGAACGAACGTCAGGTATGTATCCAAAAAAAATCCACAAAAAATTTGGTTGAATTCGGAAAACCACTGATTGTATTCCAACCTTGTTAGTGACTTTTTGTAATAAACTGACGATATAATTAACAGGTCAGTCGAAATTGACAGAAAGGCATAGCTGTAGGTAAGATACAGTCGATCAAAAAAGTATTGGCTCTCATTTTGAAAAAAAAAAAAAAAAGAAAATTGATTGGTTAAACAACTCTTTAAATTAAAAATTTAAAAAAATGTATAATTGGAAAACAAAAATCAATTCAATACAATTAAGTATTTTAATTATTATTTTAAAATACATGTATTTTGTATTTTTTAAAATACAGTGTTATTTTAATCACCATGTATTCAAAATATTTACAGAAAAAGTATATTAAATACAATATACGAAAAGTTTTTTTTATTTAAAATACAAATACAAAATATTCGTTTATATATTTATTTAGTAAGAAAAGCATTTATGAAAAGAGGGCACAGTGCATATAGTTTTAAAATAATTAATTGAGAAGAGAGAGTAACACTTTATTTTCATAAAAATATAAAATATAAAAGATTGCTGCCAGAATTATATTGGGTTGCTATATTCACAGCATACCGTTTAATCATTAGGACAATAAATGAACTTATTATGAACTTATATATATACACACATTTTTATTGTCCTTTCATTGTTCATGTTTTTGTTTTTTTAACATTTAGTTTCCCTTTCTCTCACTTCTCTCCCTTTATCTCTATTGTTTTCATTTTTTTCATTAAATAAATAAATACATAAATTAAAACTCAACATATATATTTCATTCAATAATAAATAAATCAATAAAAATAAATATTTCATTCAATCAATATTTTTTCAAAGAAGAATTTGTTAAAAAAAAGTAAAATTGACCAACAAATAAGTAGACTAAGTATATATTAATTCCAAATTAAAATTTCTGGCAATTATCTTTCAATAATACCCGTTCCTCAAATAATTGATCATTAAACAATTATTTTTTGGTTAAAATACGTTATGGGCAGAAGCTTGCTAGAAGGGCTCGAGGTATATAACAGATATAACAGTGATCTCCTCAAACTGAAAAACTATTCAGATCCATTTAGGGAAAAATTGAATGGAGCCTTGATGGGCACACAAGGAAGCGAAAGTAGGGGAACGGACGAGAATTGAAAGCCTATTAAGGAGGTCGGCGGAAGAGGTCCTTGGAATGAGACAATTTGCGACAAGAAGAGAATGGTTTGATGAGGAGTGTCAGATGGCATTGAGGGAGAGGAATGAAGATGCTGCAGCGAAACACAACTTATACCAAGGAAGTCTATAACACAAGAAGAAGGACTGCCAAGACTATTTGTAGGAAGAAGAAAAGAATGATGGTAAGAAGCAAAGTGGAAATATTACAAGCTGAATGGGAAACAAAACAGTCCAGAAACTTTTACAAGAGGATCAGAGAATTTAAACATGGTTTCCAACCGAAGACAGGTTTTTGCAAAGATAGAGAAGGTAACATAGTAGGAGGAACTGCAGAGGTATTGGATACTTGGCGACCATATTTCCAGGAACTTCTGAATGGAGATGAAAACACAGTGAGGAATGTGCTGCATGGGCGTACACAAGAGGAATTGCTGAGTGGCGAAGATGATGTGGAGCCTCCTGATTATGAGGATTTCGTGGAAGTGGTTGAAGCACTTAAAAACAATAAAAGCCTGGGGAATGATGGAATTGACGCTGAAATGTTGAAATATGGTGGAGAGGACCTAGTTGTTATTGGAGGTATGGATCGAAGAAAAAATGCCGAAAGAGTGGACGGTAGCTATTATCTGTCCAGTTTTCAAAAAAGGAGATAGAACTAAATGCGAAAATTATAGTGGTATATCTCTCCTGGGGGTAGTATTTAAGGTGTTTTCCTCGCTCCTAAATAAAAAGTTACAAGTATGGTCCGAACGTATTCTTGGTGAGCATCAATGCGGTTTCATGCCAAATAGATCTACAATTGACCTAATATTTTGCGTCAAACAGATGTTGGAAAAATGTTATGAATATAATGTAGATCTTCATCATCTTTTCATTGATTTTAAAGAGGCTTACGATAGTGTCAGTAGAAGCGAGTTATTGAAAGCAATGGTCACTTTAGGTGTACCGAAA